TGTTGTGTTGTTGAATGATGCCTTGAACATCGTTGCAGCCCACTTTGCCCCCTGAGTTGCTAGGAGAAGAATCCCGTCCTCAGGAAAAATACGAGGAATTGGTAAGGGGCGGTTCCCCCATAACGAATGGGACGGCCGATCATCCAGGGACATAGGTCCTTGGTTGTTGAAATGATCCTCGACGAAATCAGTCCGAAAACTTCTCACTCATAAGCTCTAATACAGCGGATCAGTACGCCATCACTGAACTGAGGTACGCCCTTCGACCAATGATCAGGTACATAAATATATTGCAAGATTGTTTGGATGGTTCAAGTATATAGGCTGGCAGGTAATAAGGGCCTGCATTACAGCTGGAAATTACAGCTATCGCAGGGCCACCTAGGTGAGATGGAATAGTAGGTGGTAGTGGGCCATGCGGAGAGCAAAGGAGAAGGGAGCCCAGTGTAGAAATGTGGATCCAGAGGTCTCTGTAGAGTTGCATTTTAATGGCCTTATCGTTGTCTTTTTCTTTAACAGTTTTGCAGCCTTTATATGCTACCGTTTTAATGGTTTAGCTGAAAGTATTATGCAAAATAAAAAGGGTTCTGATGGGCTCTTCCCACTCCCACTCTCATCCTGTTTCTCTTTCCTTCCTATTACCCCTCCCTCCCTCTTGGTGGCCTCCCCGTCCCTACCTCTCTCTTCCTCCATCCCTCTCCATCCTCCAAGCTGATGGAATCGGGAGAGCTGTAGCCTTAAGCAGTTACAGCAGCTACTAGTGAACACTCCACGTCAGGACAGCAGTCTGAACCAGGTACTAATCGCAACCTCAGCCGGTAAGCAGTCGGATCGCTAATATCCGGTGCACTCAGGCAACGCATAGCTCTGGTATCTATACATTGACAGACGCTACAGTCACGCGAAGGTCTGTGCAGGCTGAAGGGAGAATTAAATATAGGGCATACTGTTACTATATAATTGGACTCCCTAACTCATACTAATATTTAGACCTTAGCCCAGCCACGTGCATAAATACCTGCCCTTTGCTTTAATTTCTCAGACGGTTTGTAATAACTATCCTAGATCAGAGCTGCTACAGTTCCCGGATGACGTAAGATGGGATGACGTAGAGATGATGTCATAATTCTATCTCAGCCGGCACTCTCTACTCTCTCACAGGCTATGGCATCGCGCCACAATAGTAGAATCTGTCCATTGTTATATCTAGCACCTTAACGAAACATTCACCACATTTAAGGTTGTTATTAACCGCTGGAATCCGATCCCAAGAATGTGGGTGCCAACGGTATCCTGCATTGCAAGTATGTAATGGAGAGGTAGGCAACACCCATCCGTACCGGCTCGTCGGGAACAAGCAAGGGTAGATGTATCAAGTGATGTGACTGATGTTTCATTATGTGGTGGTTCGTTGGACATCACTGCTCCTTAATTTGAAGCCCGATAGTTATAGTCATGATGTTTTCCCTTGGGCTCGTCACCCCAAAAATAAGGGAAAACTTGTTCGTGCATATTGTACTTGGGGACAGCAGACGTGGGGTAGTGTGAAATGCATGTAACTGGGGATGATACCGCAAAGAGAGAAAGAGCGAGGGTGAAATGAACGCAGCCGAACGACAGACGCCCGGGGGAGAAAGCGAAGAACAGAAATAGAAGTAAAGCGAGCGGGAAGACCCTCTCTCCTCACCTCCCCTCCCTCTTTTAGCCTGCGCTATCCGTCCCCCTGCCCCTCTCTTTTCATCCTGCTCTCGCATGTTCCTCCCCTCCCTCCCTCTTGCTCCCTCTCTCCGCCTCTCTCCCAAGTGGGCCCACTGCATGCTCAGACCCAGACGGAAGAGTTCAATTAACGGCTCATTTATGCTCAAAAAAAATGGATAAAAAGAAGAATCTTACTCTCGCTCCGCAGAGCCTTTACCTCGGACCACATCTAGGAGGACTCTCACGAGCGGGATATCTGAATAGCGGCTAGAAACTTGCTCTTATTATGAGGCGCACGGCTCTTAAGGGAATGTGGAAGTTAGTTTATTGAATATATTCCAAAGTTAAATATGGCAAAATTACCCTAAAGAGTGCAAAAGAAAAATAGGGTGATGAGGCGTCTATTTTTTTCAAACGTGAGCTATATGGGCTTTTGCCCAAAGATTGTCTCCTTACAAAACACGGGTGACTGTATTTCGCTGTACAATCGGGGAGTTTGTTATAAATGGGCCCTTTGTGGGTTTTTACACCATTACTGGTCTCGCAGCCTTCCAGAAATATTATAATGTGTACTGAAAAGCAGCAAAGAAACTGTGGATTAGTAATAGGCCACTCTTGAATCATTCTACAACACCCTGTGCATCTGGAATCTAGCCATGGCTAATCTGGACACTTTCCTGTTTTTGAAAACCGATTCATGAACATAGTTTATGCGTTCTAGGTGAGGAGTATCCGAATATATCGTACGGGAGGTGGCACTCCAAATGAGTAACCTGCTCTTTCAATATAGAAGTGCGTCATAATTAGTTTGATGGTGGTACCCCCATTTCGTCTTTCGATGTGTCCCAAAGCAGCCCCCCGTATCACTCCTGTCTGTATGATTGCTTTTTTGGCAAGATGTGAAGGGGAAGAAAAGACAAAACGACTAAACCTTCCATAATAGTGGGACTACGAGGAGATATGGGAATAGTAACATTAACTTGGAGTTATCCTGATACATAACGCACTAGCCCCATTACACCTTTCACCCCTAATAAAAGGTTTTTGATTTGAAACCAGTTTTGCATTCTTAAAACGTTCAGTGAAGAAAGGGACAAAGCCACATCCACAATGTTGCCTGTAGCGGGAGTATTGGGGACTAGTTGGGCTCACATTACATGTTGCGTTAGCCCATTCCCACCCTTGACCCATCCCCCTTCCCCCTTCACCCCATAATAAAGGAATATTTTGAAACAGTTTTGCATTCTTTAAAGGAACGTCTCAGATGGAAGAAAAAGACAAACCCACTTCAATAATAGTGTGACTAGAGACAGAGAATGGCCCCTTATCTTTGACTCACTCAATACAGCCAGCAACGTGCACATCGTAATGTATGTTGGCATATATTATATAACACCTTATGTTTTTTTATTGTTAGTTGTATGCCTACAATTTAACTCGTGACGATCCTGCGAATCGTACTGCCAGATGGACTCAAAGGATATGCCTGCAACCTTCCTCTTATCTGTTGGTGTACTTATCTCGTTCCAAGGCGCTTGGCGGACAGATTGTTCACAATCATATTTGCTTCGTGGTCGCAAGTAGTCTGTGCATGTTCTCATGCGCATTGCCCGAGTGTACTATCCAGTCTGCGGGAAAAATGAGGATTCTTTCTGTATTAGGCCCACTATTTACAACTCTTCATTGGTTGCGCTTCATTCTCATGGTTTCGAAATTCCACTGGTGTGTGGAACTTCACTTGTCAGGTGAGTGAGTGTGTTACGCACGCAGCGCGCGCAAAAACCAAGTCACGTGACCTAGCCAGCGGCACACACATATCATAATTAATTATTTTGCGGCGCGCACAGCCGTATATTATACAACAACACCACACGTACACTGCGCGGTAAATTATAATGCATATCTAGCGACGGTGCGGCTTCTCGTTGTGCTATCTCGGATCACGCTGTTCAGGTCAGATATGAGCCAGGAAGCCGTACCATGAGGAGTGTGACGTGGCTAAGGGAGAGGAAAGGCGTGAGGCTGTTGAGGCGAAGGTGGGCCACCCGGGCTGCGCGTGACGCTGATGGCTCGTGTGGTTCTCTGTCCCTGGCTGTCGGTGTCGCCCTGGGACCATACGCTCCTATTCTGACCAAACGTTTCGCGACACTGTGGACCGGTATTTGCTGTGCGCAACTAGCCGCTAACTAGTGGTGCGTACATTTGTTATCTTTGGCGAAATGTTATCACCCATGTATAGCGTAGCCTGGCTCTCGCGTTTCAATCGTCCACGGCTTCGATCTAGCCAATAGTCGCATAGGTAGCAAACTGCATGTATATCACGAACACGCCTAATGTACACGCTCAAGTATATATGCACCATACTTCGCACACGTGTGTTTTTTAGCTGTTGACTAGTGTGATACTGTTCTGCAGACAGTTTCTCTTCTCTGAAGTTTCGTACCGAGGGAAGAACGAGCGCGTGCGTGTTGAAAAGTCCGGCGATCACTGTACACAAGTTCTATTCGCTTCTTATGTATACCGATAGATAGCACGACACCAGATACTTGCCGGGCGGGCGGAAAAGCGCGTGGTTACGCATAAGATCGGCACCGTATCGTCGACAGGTATGTATATGTAAACTTGGCAGTGGAGAATAAATATACTCACGTCTAGTATACTCAAAATGAGGACACCCGTCTCTAATAAGGTCTGACTTCTCTGATCCCAGAACAGTCTTGCATGCGATTTAACCCCTGAAATAAGGACGCCTCACTAATATTGGACACTTTCTTCTGTCCCATTGGTGTCAGTGTGTTCCACTAAGTCTTTGCAAGATGTGCAATGCAAGATATGTGACTATGGTAGTAGTAATCTTACTCGAGAAGCCGCACACGATACAATCAGCCTTTGACCATGCTAGCTCAGAGAATGTCACATGTGGCGACATATAGTACAGTATTTACTTCGCGTAGCTGATGGCAGCATATCATGTGACCTTGATCATAGTAGCGGTGATGAGACTCATGGAATATACTGTCTTAGCACTCATAGGTAGGGGAGTCTACGACAGCCAGGTTAGTTTGCCGTGTAGCATTCCAGGTGTAGCAGAAAAGGACCTGGGCGATTCTTAATAATGCACATCAATTTTTCAGCAGCTGATGACAATGAAAGTGTCCATATTATTAGTTGTGTGTTTGAAGCTGCTCTTAGAGAAAGTAAGGTGTCCTGTCCTCATATCAGAGGTGTCGTTAGAGAGGGTTCCACTGCAAATTCCCTGTCTCCATTCCAGACTGTATACTCACTGTCTCTATTCCATACCGCAGGGAGTGGCGGACCAAGACTAATCTGACTTGGAACGGAACGAGACCCGTGTGCACTACGACCTCAACGTGACTTATTCATTTGAGCCCTCAATGTCTAGTGGCGATCCAAAACACGACAAAATCATCACACTTAATATTCCTTTTTATGTGAGTTCGCTATAATAGTAGAAATGATCTCATTGTTCCATTCATGCTAATTTAGAACAGGCTTACCTCGAGCGGGTCCGCTCGCTCCGTGTATCTTGAAGGCACAAGAATTCACAATGAAGGGCGTGTATCGACTCCCACATGCTATCTACTACTGTAGCTAGCCCGTGTCAGACTCTCTGCGAGCTACTAGCGGGAGACCACGAGTAAAGGCTTATAGCCCAGCCCATCAATTAGCAGTATCGCGCATGCGCAGTTGGCCGAGGGTTTTCACTTTAGTGCTTTTCATTATAATGATGAGGCATTTGGATATACCCTTTAAAAGCCATATTTTTGTGTCTTGTTGCTCAGGTTCTTCTGCAGCAAATACAAGGTATCTTAGGTGGACTAAATGAAGACGAGAGGGGTCTTGTTCTAAACCTGCTCGAAGAGGCTAGAAAGCTATCGGGAGAAGGAGGGCTTTTTACGGAACTAGTCGTGTACGATCTTCTCTTTGGCTACAACGACCCCCTGCTGGTCTACATCATCAAGGATATCGAAGCTCTGCCCGACGTCCTTGGGGACTGGGTCAAGAAACTTAAGACTTTTGCAAAAACCATCAACCCTCTTTTCGGATTAGAGGTAATTTCATTCATGAGTACAGTGGGACCTCCGAATAAAGGACACATGTTGGGACCAGGAATTTTGTCCTTTATAGAGAAAGTATACCCTCTCTTTGGAGGTACTAGAATGATAGAAAAGTTGACGTTTTGGACCTCAAGGTCGGTCCTTGATGGAGTGTCTATTGTGTCTGTTGTCGTAGCGTCCTTTATTGGAGGTTCTACTGTAATCACTTTGACAATTAATGTGCAGGTGTGAGCATTCGCCCTACACAAATGCTTTCTAGTAATACAACGGGTGCACTAATGTTCATACATTTTATGCATATGCTGCAGCAAAGGGAGGTTTTATTATGCATTCTTGTCCTGGCCCTTGTACTTCTATCTTTAGTAACATTTCTAAATTTAGAACCTCTATGCGCATTCCCATTTGGTAAGACCTTGACTCCATTGTTGCACAGAACGTGACGGAGGTGGAATGTGGTAACCAGGTGTACACCGGGAAAGACGACATCTCTCAGATTGGACAGTTCATCGAATGGAACGGAAACTTCGAAATCTACAAACATGGGGGATGGGGAACGCCCGCTGCAAAAATGCTCAACGGGACGGCCGGCTTTATTTTCCCTCCTGGCGTCAAAAAGGGGCATAACGTGACTGCGTTTATATCTGAACTTTACAGGTAATTGTGTCCCGGCTTGCTTCTCGTGTGTGTGAACTATAACAGAGCGATGTAATAAGATGTAGGTATATACCATTTTCTGTGGATGATCTGACCTAAGTGCCACTTTCCCTCTCTCCATCCCTCCTCCCCAGATCTGGTTACTTCTCGTTCACAAGTCAAGACTCTCTACGGCATCAATCTCTATCGCTATGCCCTCCCTGGAGACGAGCTAGTCAGCGCCAACCAAGACCCTGGTTTCTATGCCAACGGGCCAAACGGTGTCCTAAATCTAACGGCGGTATTTGAGGAGAGTGCACCAGTGTTTGCCTCGAAACCTCATTTCCTCGATGCTGACAAAGGCTACTTGAATAATGTGACGGGAATGGACCCTGTTCGAAGTCTGCACGATTCTTACCTCGACATTGAGCCTATTACTGGTGAGTGGGCGTGTCTTTTATCAGGGGTAAACTTTTGGGATTTTTTTTATAACAAAATATTATTATGTGTCACGTGGTGTTCGGGATTGTGGGTGCATGGTGACAGCAAAAAAACGAGGAAACCTTTAATAATTGGAACTGAACCATGTAAATAATAATATGCTCCAGTGAATCCATTACTATTTTTAGTAAGAATGTCTGAAAGAAGACTTTCTATCTATGTATATACTGTATATACAAAAGGTGTCCTCAATGCACCCCTTTCATACTAGGTGCTTTCACTGTATTTGTTCCATTTCCTTCATTACACGAATACCGTAAACCGCGTGCCATACCGTGTTTTCACACTCACTGGTTTATACTGTAGTGTCTCACTGTTACGGACATGCTTACGTGGGGTTTTAAACTGTTGTATGACGTCTAGTTACGTAACTGTGTTAGCCCTCCTTCAATTGCTTCCTTGGTAAAACCCTGTACAGGGTGTCGCTGGTGGAAGGGGTGAGTTGAGGTGTCTGGGAAGTGAGACAGACACCGCATGTTCATGTGGTGTATGTGGTCTATGGCCCTAGTGCTATGGCAGCCACCTGAGTATTATTACTGTTGCCTACTGTGTGGTGTATTCATACTGACTGACCTGTGTTAGGTGCTGTAATGAGAGCGGCAAAGAGAATACAGATCAATTTGAGGCTCGTGAGGAACTCAGATTTTGTCGAGACTAACAGCACCATGCCACTGGTATATAAGCACAAACTCTGCACAACCCGTCCATTGTATGATGTACGTACTATTAGTATGGCGAGCGAATTGAGTCTACTTTGTCCTCTGAAGTGCACGGTTTTTGTGTCTTATGACGATTTTGCCACTTGTGTGTGTGCGTTAGCTCTATCTATGGACTTGCTTGATGTTTGTGTATACATATGTACGTGAGTGTATGAGTGAGTAGCATTGATAGCTATACAGTGGAACCCCTCTAATCCAGACACCAATGGGACAGAAGAAAGTGTCCATGTTAGCGAGGTGTCCTTATTTCGGGGGTTGATTTGCACGCAAGACCTGTTCTTGGAGAGGTGTCCTCATTTTCGGGAATAACCTTAGGGAGAGGTTCAACTGTATGTTAAATGTCACTGTTGTTTGTGCAGCTAATGATGCCGGTGTTTTGGGCCTCTGAAGAAGGCTCACTGACCAAATCTCTGGCCAACGAATTCAAAGAGAAGGTGTACGTTGCCAAATATGGCATGGAGGGTGCAGTTTGGGGAGGTGTTGGACTTGGAGGTAAGTTATTCTCAATACTTTAATACTAGTTCAGTAGGGAAAAGGTTTTACATATTTCTTCCGAAAGTAAGTGACTCTCCATGAAAATGTTCAGCTTATTGGCAAGCAAAGCAAGTCCATCTAGTCATCTGAATAATGTAAATGCTTTGATTTTTTAACTCATGTTTGATTGCCAATAATGCATTGGCACATTGGTTCTATCATGATTGTCGCTTTTCTCGGCAGGGCTGGTATTTTTGACGATGACACTGTGTTTCTTGGGTCTAGTGATACAGCAGTGTCGTTATCGCCGTGGCAACCAGAGGAGGCCTGCCGCTATCAATCCCGATGAAGATGGACCTCTTTTGAACTAACCCAGCTAGTGAATTTTTATCATCTACATAATTATGTGCACATTATATTGGGTGTCAGTATTCGTTTGTTATTTATAGCACCGCTATGACGGAACGGAGTAGCGTTCTAAAAATAGACTATAAATAGCCGGCGCCTCTGGCGATCGCGCGAACTGCAACTAACGATGCAGCGTGGACTAGAGCTACTGCCTCCCAGCTACTTCTGTTTAGCACCGCCTTCCACCATCCAGCCGTCGGTGGTTAGGTCTCCCGGTGCGTTGCCGAAATGCCTGCCGTCGTCAGGTCCGCCCCCCGCGACAGTTGCAACGTCTTATCCCGGGTGTTCCTCCACACAGAAGACTGGAAGTAAAGCATCATCACAGTCCGGAGTGTACTCTGCTACCAGTGCCGCCGGTAGTAGAGGGAGACCGACAGAAAACGTTGTCGCGGCGTGGCCGACAGCGCAACAGCTGACGCGACAGCTGGCTGGGGGGTGCGGACGCGTCGATCGTCGCCAAGAAGATTTGCAGAGATCTAGTGAAAGTCGCAGACAAGAAGAAAGGAACGACGGCCAACTGCATTGGTCGCCTGCGAATGGAAACCGTTCCAAAAGCGAAGCACCTCTGCGGGATCGCCACCGTGACGCAGCGATTCCAGTACGGCAGCATACAACGTACGGCACCACTGGGAAAGTAAAGGCAAACCTACAAAACTCGAGACCTTGTGAGAGGGCAATAGCCTCTGCGGAACGAAACGAAGATCATGGATTTCGGGACAACACGGAGGAAGCTCTCGCAAGGAAGCTCGCAATGTGTCAGAAAATCGACAAGAGTCTGCAGTTTTACGCAGACGTCCGGAAAAAGTGGAGCGATGGATCCAGCAGTTCGAACCCCTCACAACCACCATCAACAGTAGCACAGAACTCTTCCACACACAGCACAAGAAATTCGCCGAGAAGTTCTGGAGATCCGCCGCGTACTTACGCATGCGCAATGAGCACTCGTAATCAAGCCCCGCCTACCCAATCTGCAGCAGCAGTCGAGAAAGAGAGAGTGAGGGCGAGAGAGGACGCTCCCAGAAGTCACAGGGTCCAGAAAGAGCTCTCCAAAGGAACCGTCCATCACCCCAAGAGAACCTGCGATACGCCTGGCGGCCGGAAAAGCCGAGAATACGGAAGAAAACCGACTCAAAATCAGGCCAAGCCGAGTAGGCCCGCCCTCAACGACTTGGGCAGCCTTCCCTCCCGGTCGTACGTGGACCCAGACGGTAACTAGTACCGGCAAGAAGCACTCGACACTAACCCTAACCCTCGTTCAACCAAATCAGGGTGGTGCTTCGCGGGAAACGAAGTCTGAAAACGTCATCCGCGTTCTCGACTCAGACAAAACCGTCGAAGTCACCTCTGGGCCAAAGGAAAAGGTTCAGACACCTCAGAAAGTTGTACCTGTACTAGAACCTGTTTCTCGTGTTCCACCCAAAGTCGAATCAGAGAACAAGAAGACTAAACTCTCTAAATTTTGTTCGAGCGTTAGTTTTCCTGCTTCTGGTGTCGAGAAGACCAGAGGAGACAAAGAAAAGGAGAGGAGTTTAACGATTTCGACAGCATTCAGCAAGACAGTGACCCTGAATCCGTCGAGCCGCTCACTGGAAAGTTTGGTGAACCGATACTCACAGGTGCTCGGCCGATTCTGTCCTCTGCCTCTCCGGTTCGATCCACCGAGCTCGCCGCCGCTCCAGAACCGACCACATCGCGACAGAGCAGCTGTGAATCCGACGGCGTGGTGCGACAGAAGACGGTCGCAGCGGCTCGCAGCGACACCGTCCTAGCGAGAGTCCTACAGGCCGAAGAAGAGTCACGGGCTGGGGTCTCACTCTCACGTAAGCCGTATACACCACTCACAATAACAGGTTTCACTAAGAAAGAATGACTTTAATCCACTGTATTTTTCTAATGCACTCTCAATACATCTCAGTATGTCCTAAATACTACCACAGAGGTTAAACTAAGCACAGAAAATGCAGTAGTATATGTTGGATATCTCTAGGGCAACCGACATGTATGAAGCTAGGTACTGGGGGATTGTATCAGCCTATACAATCCTAAATGTGCAAGCAGGGTTCATACATGTCGTTTGCCTAGGGATATCCAACAAATCTGTTGCAGTACCCAGACAGGACAGCATTTGCCTTTACAGGGCTCATGCTGTCCTGTCTGGGCACTGCAACATATACATACATGTACTGTATGTTCTAGTGGGAGAATGACTGTAAGCACTTTAGCTGTTTGCGTTGCCTATTGCTGCCATTTTCAATTGAAAAGTCACTCGGAGATTGCCAATTCTGCATGAGGCCGACAAGAGTTATTCAGTCTTCATGGTTTACTGTTTTATATTGTTGTTCTCTTATACTTTTAGAGCTAGGCTCTAGTGAGTTCTGAAATCTGATTGGTCAATCAGAGGAATACTATTTCACATAGTATTCCGCTGACTGATCAGCGGACTTCTACATATAGAAATCCTCCCCGAGGCACATTCCATCGTTATCATGCGCAGAAACGTGGCTCAAAACACAGAAAATTCAAGAAGACGCTAATCAGCTCTGCATAGAAAGTGTAGCCAGCTCGAGACGCAGCACCCCTAACTGCAGGCAAGCTAACAGAGTGAAAGAGAGATGCTTGTTGGCTAGCTGCTATGCAAAAGTAGGCGTGGTCGCTACGTGTTTTTCGCACAGCCAGTGCATGTGCGCGTGCGCTAGAGCTGTAGCCAGGTCTAGCTCAGTAGTCATGCGCCACTACCTGCTAGAAGACCGAGTACCTGGCTTTTCGTGAAAAAGAACCGCTCCAGAAGCCCCGTCTTCCGTCCGCACGCTTGGCGTCTTTCGAATTGAAGGCGTGGTTGCCATGGCTCTAAATCAGTTAGGCGCCAATTCTCGAAAACCACGCGATTTAGAAAGCCTCGGGCCCTCTAGTAGCGTCCTCGCTAGCGCTCGGACAGCTACAGCCCGAGGGCCCGCGGCTTTCTAAATCCGCGTAGTTTCCTCGAATCGGCGCCTAACTTATATATAGTGTACTGTGCATTGAACTAAAAGTTCCTTCTGTTTTTTCGTGACCTTCGTTTAGTAAACCCTGGTTTGTATGAAGAAGAACCTTACTTTACAATATTTCTTCTCTCTTGCAATCTTTCCTACCCCCCTGATCCTCAGCCAACACCAGTAACGATCTTGCTATAGCCAGACAGATCCAGGAGGACCTATATCAACTCGAGGACGAGGAGCCACCATCTTCTGGAGCCATCGGAACGGGTCTGCCGCCGACTGCCGCCACCGCAGCCATGTCCAAGAGCAATTTTGAGAGTCTGCGGTTCCTCGACGACGACCCAAACTACTATGGGAAGGGTTACGACATAGGCAGAGGTGAGATAAGACACTATTGAATCAATCATTACAGGGATCTCCTCTCTGGGTTAGAGCAATACCATACACAACACAGCTAAGTGCTTTGTCTCCCGATAGAAAAAAAACCTTGCTTTGTGTTTTGGAGGCGAAGTAAGTAGGAGAATCGTTGGATGATGTGTCATCCCATGTGCGGCCCTTGGAATGTAAACTTAGCACAACTGAGGCTATTCATACGCTATAGATAGCAGAAATGATGTCATTGATATTCACATTATTTCCTTACTACTGTGTCATGTTTATAATATTCATAGAATTCCATGACCTTTTCCTTCTGCCTATGTATATGTATTGATATCCAAACATAGAATACATGGTGACTGAGCACAATTCAATCTCCGAAGAACAGAAAGGAAGGAATAGAAACATTCCCCGCAAGAGCGTCAGGAAAAACAACTACTCCGGACGCTGGAGCGACGAATATCGGTACCGGGATTTCGACAAACGAGGACACCGGAATCTGCATGCGGAGAAGTATCAGCCACACGAGAGAAAGACGTGGGCAGTGGGCGGGACCGGGATTGTGACGGCCTGCGTGCGAGGCATGCAGAGAAGTGACGCTCTTTTGGAGAGGGAAGAACTCGACTTGGCATTTGAGGTGAGTTCTTTCCAGTTGTATAATTATATTCCTGGGTGGGACTTGAACCCACGACACTAGAGTTCATGGGATCCTTATCACATTAATAGGCGATGATTGAGGATCATTTTGATATCACTTTGTGTGGATTGCTTACAGAACCACCGAGAAATTAGGCAAAGAGAGAAAGTGACAATTCTATGTACTCTCTTAGCACTTGGTGCATTACTTGGCAGCTCAGCGGACTAGCAGAGCCTACAGCACAACATAATACAAAGGCAAACCCCCATCAGTGACTGTGAATGGTCTTGTTGTATATACATTTGGTTACCACAGGACAGTTTTACAGGGGAAAGAACCTGGGATAGTCCCCTACCTCACACACCTCCATAATTTGCATAATTATGAATTGCCATGGGATGTATTCTTCACAAATTTCTACACTCCCCCAACAACTGCATTTGAGGAAACTACGTGTTTCCTGAGCCGATCATACCCAATACGTTTCTGCAACTTTTGTTGAATATACTCTCTCTGAGAAGATGCTCCACGCTGGAGCCTATGAAAGAGTTTTCCCTGTCTTTGGTTGAGGCCAACTTGTGTCAGTGAGCTCATGTGAAGCAGCCAACTTGTCTCGTGTTGCCCTTTACGTGGTCCTCTCATTATATTGGTAATGTGTGACCTGTATGTATGTTTATACCGTGTGTATTGTGCATGGCAGGGTCGCCAGGAGCTGGAGGAGATAGAGAGTAGCATTGATTCCCAGCTCATTGAGAGAATGAGTCACCAGTACGAGTACAAGGAGAAACACAGGCCAAAAGACCCCTCGGTCAAGCCCGTCACTGAGTGAGTGTAAATGTAGTATCTCTCACAGTATTGAACACTTCATTCAACCTAGAACATTGAGTGAGTGTAAATGTAGTATCTCTCACAGTATTGAACACTTCCTTCAACCTAGAACACTGAGTGAGTGTAAATGTAGTATCTCACAGTATTGAACACTTCATTCAACCTAGAACACTGAGTGAGTGTAAATGTAGTATCTCACAGTATTGAACACTTCATTCAACCTAGAACATTGAGTGAGTGTAAATGTAGTATCTCACAGTATTGAACACTTCATTCAACCTAGAACACTGAGTGAGTGTAAATGTAGTATCTCACAGTATTGAACACTTCATTCAACCTAGAACATTGAGTGAGTGTATATGTAGTATCTCACAGTATTGAACACACTTCATTCAACCTAGAACACTGAGTGAGTGTATATGTAGTATCTCACAGTATTGAACACTTCATTCAACCTAGAACACTGAGTGAGTGTAAATGTAGTATCTCACAGTATTGAACACTTCATTCAACCTAGAACACTGAGTGAGTGTATATGTAGTATCTCACAGTATTGAACACTTCCTTCAACCTAGAACACTGAGTGAGTGTAAATGTAGTATCTCACAGTATTGAACACTTCGTTCAACCTAGAACATTGAGTGAGTGTATATGTAGTATCTCACAGTATTGAACACTTCATTCAACCTAGAACATTGAGTGAGTGTATATGTAGTATCTCACAGTATTGACCTTCATTCAACCTAGACATTGAGTGAGTGTATATGATAGTATCTCACAGTATTGAACACTTCATTCAACCTAGAACATTGAGTGAGTGTATATGTAGTATCTCACAGTATTGAACACTTCATTCAACCTAGAACACGATTATACAGTAACACTAAAGCTGTAGTAGTAGCTGAAGGGTAAGGGGTCAAATTGGAGAAGGGGCGCAAATGCGAAAGTACGAAGTCACCCTTCTCAAACAGGGGGGAACTGCACTACTCCATGCCTCCACCTATTCTTACCAATCGTTTGACAAGATCCCGATAACCTTCTCGCTGCCTGGTGTTTTATGATTTTGTTTCATTTTGTGTGTGTTATCCAGGTGTGCAGTATGCTTGGATTCCTTCCACGTAGGAGACCCGCTAAGGTATGTTGTCGGTATTACAGGAATTGATAACTTTTGCTGACGAAACGTAACGGGAATACCTGCCAAAACAACAAAGATTAGCAAGAAGTTTATTTTCCCAGCGGAAGTTGTGAAAAGTGACCTCTATTGTTTTCCCACGTAATGTACCTCCAGCAAGACCTATAAATAGAGCACTTTCGATGTCCCAGCACTCTATTTTCCATTTTTGTGTGAAAGTACAATAGTTTTACCACAGAAACCTCCACTAAGAGATGCAATAAAGAACACTTGATATCCCAAGCCTTATTGGTAGATGTTACTGTCTAAGATCTCTATGTCTGCTGCCAGGTTGATGCCATGCTCTCACACCTTCCACCGGGTCTGTGTGGACAAGTGGCTGGAGGGGAACGTGAACTGCCCGGTTTGCAAGGCCGACTATCACCTACTGGCTGGGAAACTGGGCTGGACGTCGATCTCAGAAATACAGAAGGCGCTACTGGTAGGATGGCCGAGTTTTGACTCTTAACGCTTGATTCAGAGCTTCACACTTTGATTTTTGGACACACATATCATGTGCATAATTTTGGTTATTATTGCTCAGGCTGCCCACAAGGACAATGTTTATGATGGTCATAATTATTATATACTCGTAATGCTGCTCACCATAATAAAATCTTTCTATACATTGCTCTGTTACATATTTATCGCTAATGTTAACGTTCTGATGTTGTCTTAGTGTCTTTCTCAGCATCACGTATAGTGGTCCATATCTTACACAGTTTTCGATGGTTGCCCACCGTCCATGCTAGCGTCTGACATTCCACTCCACAATAGAGGGCCTGTGCGTGTGTGTATATGCATATATAGTGCGTGCGAGAATGAATTAGGGGGCCGAAACACAAGGCAAGTGGGTGTAGAACACTTCGAAAAAGAGGTGGGATTCAAACTCTCTCTCTCTCGAGCATGGGATCTAAACACAGGGCAAGTGGGTGTAGATGAAAATGAGGAGAACACATTTTGGGAAAGAGCTGCCCCAGGTGGAATTATTGGAACGTGATGGCTCTTACTTGTTTGCATCGAGAACACTTCTTCACGGATGTGATGAGATCTCCACATACGCTGCAACTCTCTAGAGCTTCCTCAGACTCACTGCAAGTAGTCAATAATGGTCAGCATGCAGTAAAAACACGGGGGCTTTTTACTTCAAGTCACACTTGAAGCCTAGCAAACAAAAGACCAAGGTTTTGCATAACCATAAAATACACCTCTTTATATGGAACTTTGAAGATAGAGTATAGATTGGTCGTGCTGTGCCGGTAAAGTGTGCTACATTAGGAATATATACCTCCTTTTCCCAAACACCATCTGTTGGAAGAGTGATACCGCAGAAGGAGGCCCACCCTGTCATCATGAGTGCATGTGAGATTAAAGCAGACCATGCAATCTGGGTTAAAACAGTACCTAATAGGATTGAAACAAGCGTAATATAAAAGGAAGCTACATGTTTTGTGGCCTAGAGTTAGAGCTAAGTTCCACTGTAAACGATCTATTAATAATGCTGCCTGCAAAGCGTCACGTAATTGTAAGGAAACAGGTGTGTGTTCTGTAGTCATTTCCAAGTTCCAATCAATTGGTAAGAAGATTGACTGACAGGTGGTGTTTTGGCGAGTGTAGCAACCATCTCTCTCAGTAGCTGACTGCGTAGGTTCGGATAGTCCTGGAGACACTGTCGTAGGAATCGATCTAGTGACTCAGCAACTCCATCTTCTCTGCAGTGGAGGAGTCTGGGTCCAGGAAGAAATAGAGAGAGAGGGTGGATGACTGGAAGGAAGGTTTTTGTATATTGTGGAACCTCTCTAATCCAATGGGACAGAAGAAGTGTTTGTGTTAGTGAGGTGTCCTTATTTTCTTGATCTCATGGAACTATTCTTGGAGGTATAGAGGTGTCCTTAAAGGGGGGTTCATTCATAACTGGAGAGTAAATTCCGAACGAGGGGTTATCCATACAAAACTAATTCTCAAAAACAAAGCAACTGTATAGTGGAAACCTTTTGACAGTGAAAACTTGCGGTTAGGGACATTTGTATTGTAGGATCTTTTTCCATGTAACAAAGTATCTACTGAATCGCATTTTTCAATAAGAGTTGAAAAAAAAGCCACAACTCCCTGCTTCTCCATGATTAATAAGTACTAACAGCTTCAGTAGTGCATCGACCCCATTCTTTGCACATCTCTCCACCACAAAACTGAGGCAGTGCATCTTGAGAGCCTGAGGCTCCTTCTCCTCCTTCTCCATCTTCTCCCTCAGCAGCTGGAGGACTCGGCAGACACTAGACTGGGCTGCCAGGAGCTGAGGACAGGATGACCGGAGGCTCAGTGTGACCTGAGTGGTTCAGAGAGAAAGGAAAAAGACATTATATGTTTTTTAAATTTATTTCAAGGATTACTTTTGACTTTGTTGCAGAGCTTTGCATCCAGAGAGAGGTTTTTAACCCTTTACACTGGTTCGCTCTTTTACCTTATCCTCCATTACAACTAGCCACAGTGAAACCCCCTGAACTGAGGATCCTCGGATAATTTTTGTGGGTTCTTTCTCGTACTACATTACATCCGAAAAGTGGTGCTTATTGATGCCACCAAAGTGTCACCGTAGCCACAAAACAGCAAACGTAAATTTTAACCTTCACGGGGTGGATGGTATGCATGGAGATAGTCCATGAAGAGGTGCACGTTTGCTGGTCCAGTTTTGGAACCTTCTCTCAACCTGAAAACAACAGCTGTGCTTAACTCTTGCCACGCACCACACCCATCAATGTACATACCTTTTATGGTAGTGTAGTATTCCAGTTGAGATATAGAGAAGTGGGTTGTTGATCATTCTCACACACTCGTGTTGCCCTGGTAAGATGACACACATTGAGAGCCCGTGTCATGTCCGTCTCTGCACATTCTAACTAAACTGGTTGTTGATCACTCTCACACACTCGTGTTGCCCTGGTAAAGATGACAACACATTGAGAGCCCGTTTCATGTCCGTTCTGCACATTCTAACTAAACTGGTTGTTGATCACTCTCACACACTCGTGTTTGCCCTGGAAAGATGACAACACACCGAGAGCCCGTTTCATGTCCGTTCTGCACATCTAACTAAACTGATTTACTACCAAAATCATGATCTGGAGTACGTACTATCAATGTGCCTCAGTACACAGTTTTTTTATCCGACAATGATCCCAGTTGGACTGCAGTCTTATTGACACCATTAACCACATTAGTTTTCGCTCCATTCGCTAGCATAGTCCACACCACTTCCTCTGTGACCTGCGGCCAGTGTAAAAGGAAAAAACGAGAGATGTGACCAGATAGAGTGACTGCAGTCACAATGCTGAAGGTTTCTCGCAGTTTAATACCAAAGTCTAATTGCAACATGCCTGCTGAAGAACGCTCTGATTAGGAACTCTTGCCGGTTTTTCCTCAGAATATGTTCTAACAATGTCCTTATAGACAAAACCGGCAAGAGTCTATATTGAGGCTGCTGGCTCACCTCTGGCTCTGACCCCTCATTAAGAGTCATAATCTTATGTCATGTATGGGGCCAAACCAAGAGAGAGTGTCCTTATTCAGCGTATCCTTTCAGAGTGTGTAAATATAATGTCTATATTATACCTATATTTGTGGAAATAGCAAATATCTACAGCTATTGTGCAAACATAGGGCTTTGTACTGAAAGAGAGGAAAGAGGGTGGAGATATATACCGAGAGCGAAGGGCGTAGAATGCACTGAGATGGCACTAAAGGGAGGTGGCGGTAATATATGGGCTAAATTTAGAAATGGTACTAGAGAGAATAAACCAATAGGGCCAGTGAAAAATGCATTGAGTTCCTTCTATCGACATTAGCCCGTATATACTGCGCCACATTCCTTTACATTGCATACACTGTACATCTTTGTGGCGTCCAGTTGCGCTGCCTGTGTTCTAGAAGTTTCCTGCAGACGTGAGTGCCTCTGTAGGCGCGTGCATCAGTGCAGGCATCCATCCTCAGTACGTGGTCTCAAAGAGACCATTTCCTGTAAGCAGCACAGTGAACCGGACTCTGGCGCTCAGCCACTGCAACGCAGATGATGATAGGTGTGTACAGCGTCATTCGCAGGTGGTTGTGTTTCCTTTAGCGTGTGGCGTTTGTGTTGCGTGATGTGTGTGTTTCTTCAGCCACGGAGAGGTTAGGGGAGGTAATAGACGTATCTCATAATGCAATGCCACGAAGTGTGTCGTGACGCAGGGTTGAGCGCACAAGGGTGGCGTTCGAGTGTACCCACTGCTGTCGTTTGTCGTCGCCAGAACGTCAACAACGCGCTGTCGGGACTACGCAGCGCCTCAACGAATGTATGGCGGGCTGGATGAGCGCATGCGCAGGTAGTGCACGTGCGCTTATGGCAGGGACGAAAGAAGATGCTGCCGTGCGGGAGACAAGCGCTAGCCCCGAGTCGCAAGGTGACGGGAGCGCAAGCCGGAACGAGACAAGCGCGGACTGGTCCGAAGAAAAGGCGGCAAGAGCGTAGCGAGCGTCTGAAGAGCGATCGGCAGGAAGACGTCTGAACAAGTTGAAGTGTCTACGTTCCACCTCTTTTGTGACGCTCAGTGGCGTGACCTTTCCACTTTATAAACGAAATTTAACGTTATTTGAGGCTAACTAGGCTCTCTGGGGTATGTTATGTCTTTTTGTGTCTTTTCTCCTTTTCCGCGCGCGATTGCGTGCTCGGCTCTCTGGAATGTGTATATCAGTATATGAAGAGTGTTCGTGGCTGACACTGTTTTCACAGTTAACGACGAGACGATGCCGACAGTGGACAGCAATATCTGCTGCAGATACAAGCCACGTGAGTCATGTCGCCAGCAGTCCATGCTACACCACTGACCTTTCCCTTCCGTCTGCATTTTTGGGTCTATGTATAACAGCAGCTGTCCAGAGCTTCCGCATCTTTTTTCTCTTGTTGGCATCATCAGGAGCTATTGGTTACAAATATATGTATGTCTTTTCCTTTCTTCGAACGCTTGTGCCTTCTTACTCGCTCTCTCCTCCTCCCTTTTCCTTGCACCACCTCCAGTATGGGATAGAGGTGGACGGAGGTGGACAGTGGAGGTGCCGAGGTTTTGCGTGCCGACTGGAGATGGCGGTGGGCGTTTCCCGACGGCTCCTCTGTTGATCCCGATCCCCGATCCTCAGTCTCCCGGAGCCACCACCTCCACCGCAATGTCGCTAGCGACACGACGCGCTTGTTCGGTACGCAGCCTTACATCTGCTATCATGGTGGGGGTCTCTAACGTGCAGCTTTAACCATCGGCACGGTCGCCAATTTTCTTGAAGGCCAATTGAATAGAGCTCTATAGTACGGTCGCTTCTGGCTACAAAGTTTTGTTCTTCCTTCCTGTAGACACCAGTGTGGAGAGGATGCTGAGAGAAAAAACCAACAGGTTGATACAAGGAAGTAATAAAAATGTTCATATTCTTGTTTTGTTCATGGGGTGGTTTGAATGTCGAGGTGTCTTTTGTTGTTTTGTTTGTGTGGTGTTTAATCAGAGAGATGTCACACAGTGTGTTTAATGGAGACTTGGACTCGACACATCGTGACCACTCCACTGATAATGTTGTTTCTGAGAAGATGTGATTGGTAGGAGAGGCTATCTGAAACATTGACTTATGTGCTCAGTTTGTTCAATGGTCTTTCAAACCAAGCCATTGTATATATGTCTCATGACTAGAGTAAACACCCAATTTCGTCAGTAGGCAAGCAAGATCGTCCGGCCTTCCCCGTTTCGATAGGATTTTCCCCCTCTCCGAGAAATGTGGTTAAAAGGCAGGATGTAGCAATCCTAAATAGTAGTGGAGTGGCACCACCCTACGTAAAAAATGGCTGCTTCGTAGGTATATAATCACTCGCACGATTTTCGCATATATATAATTTTTGTTGGTACGGGCCTACCGAGGTTGTTTCAGTTTTGTTCCTTCACGGTCTTTGCTCGTCTGGACCTCTTACTTCTAGGAAGAAGGCCACCACTCATTCATCTGATATTCGGCATAGTGCTATATTATAATCAGCTGGTCAGCCTAAGTACAGCTGTGGTACCTCATGCATACATAGCACTGGTGTGCTTCAATTGGAAAGGCTCACACTGATGCTAAACTATACAATTGTCGGGGAAATGAATACGTAGTTGGTAATTGCGTTTATTTTCCATAGCGTTCCTGGATTTACGGCTTTCTTCGTAAAGAATGCACTCGCAAAAGTCGACGAGTGCTGTATGTGATTGTACCGTGTGACCTCTGCGGCTTGCGCAATTTCTGCATGGGTTCAAGGTTCGTTGGTGTGCACGTGTGGTACCTGGCTAGGCTTAGGTACAACGTACAACACATGTGCTTTGGGTAATGTGCATAATGGTGCTAGTTGAAGATGGAAAGATCCACTTAGTTTGGTTGGTAGGCACCACCCATATGAAGAAGAACAGGAGTAAGAGATCTCGGCCCAGGATATCCCGTGGCTGCGGTGTTGGACAATGTGTGGTGGCTTACTCCACAAACAAAAGCAAGAAACTTTACTTTGAAGTGTGCCGTGTGGAAGGAGTTGCTTGCTCTTTAAATAGAGCCCACCTATTACCCAAACAAGAAAACACACTAGATCTCGCACTTGAGTTTACCGAGCACTAGGTGTAACATTTGATACACGATAGACTCGAGTGAATGTTGATGAACGCATTTAAAATGTTTTTTTGTTTGAGTTTTCCCCCACAGTGAAGACCTACAGAAAGCGGTATATTTTTGTTGTGTTTCTGCTCATTATTTGTGTGTTTATTCTGTTAACCCTTTCCCTCCCCTCTTCTTCCCTCCAACACAT